GAATTGGGATAATTCAGTTTAGGCTTTGTAACTGTTTTATCATTTAGTCATTGCAAACTGACAAGAACCCTCCTGATTGAACTCTGCAAGTAGATAGAAAGTGACATCATAGCCCCGCCCCCTTTATTTTAGGGTCAGTAATTTTTAAAAAGCACCATTTTCACTCCCACGTTTGGATCCAATATTTCTTTATGGACAGGAAAGGACACCAGGAATTTGATGCCAGAGTTAAGGCTAGGCAACTCCTTCAAGCCCTCCAGCAAATGTCCCGGGTTCTAGGTTGCAAAAACTGTTCTAGGTTGCAATTCCCCGAGAACTGCAGCCTTAATTCTGGGAAGCCCTTGACCAGCCCACAACTAGGCGGTTAGTCAGTGACGCAGCATCACTTGACTGAGTAATAAAACCGCTCCAGGCTAACCTGGTGCCCGTGAAGACGGAGTACAATTCCTATAATCCTTTGGCCTGGCTAGGGATGATGGGAAATTGTCCTCCCAGTCGGGAGGCCGGCACCAGGTTAGAAAAGGGTGCCTGCTCGCCCTCCGCTTGGCACGCAGCCGGCGGGAAGAGCACGAGCGCCTTCCGTCTTTCCGCCGCCTTCCAATCTCACCTTTCCAGCTCAGCATCGTCCGCCATGGCGGGCAGCGGGGTCGAGGGGAGCCGCTCTCAAACTCCCACCGCCTCCATCTTGTTCGTCTTGCCGGAAGCGCAGCGGCAGTTCCGCGAGAGCGCGGGCGACGAGCACCAACAGCCGCTCGCGAGGACTCCGAAAGGGGCGGGGCTCGGCAGCAGGCAGCCCTCAGCCCCGCCCTCCCCGGCATAGCTCGCCCTCTGGCTCGTCCGAAGCGGCTCCTCTTGGGGGAGGGAGGGGGGAGGGGGCGTGGCAGCCTGCTGCCGGGGCGGGCCTTACATCTGACTGGAAACCTGCCGGTCCCCTTTGCAGATGCTGAGGGAAACGTGCGGTGGTCCTGTCTGTGGATGGAAGTTTTGATCTGCTACACCCTTTGGCCTGGGATAGTCTCCTTAACTTAACGCAACTTGTTTCTCTGACATAGTTGCATACAAGTGTAGTAGCACAGGTTTGTGTGTGTGCTTATACACATACGGTATATTGCAGGGGACTCCAACCTTGACAACTTTAAGACTGGTGGACTTCAACTCCCAGAATTCCTCAGCCAGCAAAGCTGGCTGAGGAATTCTGGGAATTGAAGTCCACCAGTCTTAAAGTTGCCAAGGTTGGAGACCCCTGGATATTGGATGGATGGATGTAGATGTAAACACACACAGCAGCTAGTTAAATCATATACAAACACATCCTAGATAGACATAACACATAGGCCTGTATCCATAACCCTAATTCCCACAACACTGTCAAACTATTTAGTAAGACTGTATTACTATTATTATTCTCATCCTTCCTATTACCTATCTCCTCCCACTTATGACTATAACCATGCAGCTTGCATCTTTGCGATTTGTATTGTTTTTATTTGTTTCCTAGTATGATTTAATTGCTTATTCATAACCTATGACTATCACTAAGTGTTGTATCTTACGATTCTTGATGAATGTATTTTTTTTCTTTTTATGTACAATGAGAGCATATGCACCAAAGATAAATTTCTTGGGTGTCCAATCACACTTGGCCAATAAAGAATTCTATTCTACTCTACTCTACTTCTATTCTATATACAGCAGGTATTTATTTATACAAACACACATACAAACCAAATAGATAGGTACATTTACATACCAACATATACACACACAAAACCTATGTGCCTCCTTCCTTCTTTTCCTCCCTATTGATCTATTTGGTTGTCACAGCAAATGTATTTACTGCTCTAGCCTTTACTTTCTATGAGGGTAGAACATTCCTAATTAATCTTCATCTATTAAAGTTATTTAAGCTTTGGCCAGTCATCAAATCTGATTAATTATGTGCCACCAAGTCATTTTCAACTTCTAGGGTTCACAACGCAGGGCCGAGAGATGTTGAGGGGTTGGGGGTTCTGTGACTTTGCATTCCCTCAGAAACTGCATGCTGATGGGGCAGCCCAATATTGTTCCCCTTTTCCTGCTCAGAAGGGTGCCAAGTCTGAATTGATTGTTAGCAGAGGTCTTTAATAATATGCCCAAAGTTAGAAACTGTGGACAAGAAATTATAAATTAACGTCAGTGGCTTATAAAGAAAATTTGTATGTTTTACATGTGGCACTTACCCCCAGCAAGAATAGCCAAGAAGTTTAAAGGCAAATCGGCAAAATGTTGGAAATGTCATCCGATACCTGGATCATATTACCATATGTGGTGGACATGCATTGAAGCTAAAAGATACTGGACTAGAATACACATGTGATTGGAAAAAATGATAAAACAACACATAGATTTGAAACCAAAGATATTTTTATTGGGAATTATGCCTGAAGGTTATAATAGAGAGATAACATATTTAATTATGAATGTATTAATAGCAGCTAGAATTGTACTTGCACAAAATTGGAAAATGAGAAAAGTCCGACAGAGGAGGAAACAATTAAGAAAATAATGGAATGTGCAGAAATGAGTAGACTAACAATGGCAATTAGAGAACAGGAAGAAAAAGAGTATTATAGGATTTGGGATTTATTTTATGAATGGTAAGATAGAAGAATAAGAAACCTAAAGTATGTGTAATAGTAATAATATACTATAATTGATCAATCTTGAATGAGTAAGAGAATGAATATAATTTAGCAAGAATGAGATATGTTTTTTTAAATAACTATGTCAATAATATCATAATTGAATAATATGATATAAAATATTGTTTAGAATGGTTTATAAATATAATTAAGTAATGTACAATAATATTACTATGCGCACAAGATATATGTACCCAACCAACACATTGTAAAATTGAAAGATGGTTTTATTTGTTGTCTTTGTTAAAATAAAAAAACTTTAAAAAAAATAGTATGCCCAAAATTGCTATAGCTGCAGCCACCTCAAAATTCACTTAGCTCAAATGATTCCAGGAATCCTACTGAAGTTCACATGATGGGAAATTACAAACAATCCATCAGAACTTGGGTGTTCTCTCAAAATCTTGACTATTTACAGAACATAAAATATGAAAATCAAAGTAAAACACATTAAGGTTTGCTATGTTTAGCGAGTTCAATCAGCAGTTATATGCAAGATTTACTGAGCATATTAGAAAGATAAATGTCTTAATGACTGTGGTTACCCATGGTTAATTGAACTAGTTTATTGTATTAGCTCAATTGTATGGATTCCTACTGTGTACAGTATTAAAGCATAAACTAACTCTGCTGCACGTGATTGCAGATTGTACATGAATGACAAGCTTGATAATCACATTTTACTCTGGCTGTTGGACCATTCATATTCTTCCTGCAGGCCAGTGTCTCTAACATGGGAATTTCAAGATGCATGGACCTCAACTCCCAGAATTCCTCAGCCAGCATGCATTTTGAATAATTCTGGGAGTTGAAGTCCACACATTTTAAGTTCCCAAGGTTGAGAAACATTGCTGTAGGGAAATGATTAAGTACATGCAAAATCAAATAGTGGCCTTAGATCACAGTGGCAGGTGTATAGCCCTGCAGAGATTGTTGGAAAGCATAATCCTTCACTTTGGCCAGGCCATTAAGGCTGTTAAGACAATTTAGCCTGGGGGTAGACACAACCCATCTTTTTTGCACAAGCTTTTGCAACTTTAATACAGCTCTCATCATCCCCATCCTTAATAATGGGTGGATACCTGGTGGGATTTGTTGCTTAACAAGGCCATTTAGGGGAAGGCTGCCTAGCGTTCCTGCCATCTTTGCTTCTGCATCTCTAAAAGGAACCAACCACTGGCAACCACTCATAAATGTCTCACAATTACTGCAAGATCTATTAAGGCTACCAAACCAATCAACAAGGGAGCTTTCACCGTGATATGTTTTAAGGCACTGACCACACTGGCACCCAAGACATTTTTATAAGCTAAGGGGAATAGGACAAGACAATCCTGCTGATGAAGACAATCTCGCTGATGATGTTACCTAGTCTGGTAACGAGATGTTCAGAAACTAAATTGGAAGAAGCTTGGAGAGCAAACCACTGCCAATATTTTAAGGTTCTCTATCCCTTCCTCCCCCCCCACACGCCAATCTTGCTCCACCAAAGAAAACTGCTACAGCCCCCAAGAATCAGGCGCGTAACAGAGACAACAACTCCGGCAAGACTACCACGGCCTGCGCGCCGCATCCCTCCCGGAATAGCTTCCGATGGGCTGCAAGCTCTCTCTCTCTCTCTCTCTCTCTTTTCTTTTTTCTTCTTCTTTTGCCTTAAGGCTGAGTCGTTCTGATTGGGCGGAACCTGCCGTCGTTCGGCCCGCCGGAGAAAGGAGTCCCCTGGCCGCGGTCGCGCTCAGGCGCGGGGGCGCGCAACCGAGAGGGAGAGAGATTGGCGGTCGGTTAAGCGCCGCTTGGAGCTTCGCCTCCTTTCCCGAGACCGGCGCCGGCGGTGTGGAGGTAGGAACCGACCGCGGAGGAGAAGGAGGAGCCAGAGCCCCAGCCCACGCCACTCCATCTGCGGCGCTGGGGAAGAGCTGCTCGGCGTCAGTCTCCCACGATCCTGCCCCTTCGCTCGGAGAGCACGATGCCCGGGATCGTGCGGTGACACCCGGAGCTTTGCGCTCCCCTACCCGGCAGGGTAAGTTCGGGGACCACCGATCCGACCTCCGAGTTCTTTTTTTTTTTTAAACCCCCCCTCTCTCTCCCGCCTTCCTTCCCGCGGTTGTTTAGCCCAGCACCGATGCTTGCAAGCTAGTTTTCAGAACAGATCTGACCCCCCACCCACCCCACTTCTCCGATCCTTAACGCTCTGCGCTTTCCAGAGCGATCTGGCAGCCCCTTTGCCCTCTGCAGTGGATACTGCCCGTGTCTGACTGGCTCCGCTGCCCAAGAAGCCTCCGGGTTTAGAGCCTCTCCAAGATCTTCGAATTTGCCTTTACCGAACCCAGGCGCAGTTTTGGCTTGGGGGTGGGGGGCTTTGGGCAACCTCTCTACCTGTGAATCTCTTCCGGGCATTTGCCTCCCGCTTGGGTTTGTTATTGAACAATGTGTTAAGCAGCGAAGCCTCCTGGCTTCTCCTTTCCCAGGTCAGCCGAGAAAGGGTTGCTGGTGACTGCCTACCTATAGGGATGGGGGAGAGGCCCACACCCTTTCCAATGTACTCAAGGATGGATGGATGAATGGGAAATCGATTTCCCCGGTTGCCAAAAAATGGTGATGGGATGCAGGGTTTCTTCTTTCCTCTTCCCCTATCTGAAGAAGTTCTATTTTTTTTTTTCATAACGAAGTATTTTGCACGATATGCATCATATGCTCTTGCCTCCCACCCCTTTCATTGTAGGTTTCCAAACTGCTGTTTCAAACCATCACCTCATGGACACCTTACCTCACACACTTGAAGTAGGGGCTCTCCAAAGTTTGTTAGATGGGTCCTCTGAGGAACCGCCAGAATTGCTAGCTCTTCTTCCTTTCTCTGGTGAGCTGTAATGCATATATTGATTGTTAGAAGCTGCTATGGATTCTTCTGCTTGTAACATTGGCCTTCTAAGCCAGGGGTCTCCAACCTTAGCTACTTTAAGACTTGTGGACTTCAACTCCCTTTGCTGGCTGAGGAATTCTGGGAGTTGAAGTCCACAAGTCTTAAAGTTGCTACAGTTGGAGACCCCTGTTCTATGCTACAGGATATCCTCCTCTTCATATTCCAGTTAATCCACTGCCTCTTGCTTTTGTAAGAAGTTAAGATGAATCTTGTTACTTGGCTGGGGCTTGTGCAGTTGCAGCCTCACCTTTCTATTCTAGTCTATTGTTTCCTTAGATGTGAATTAGAAGAGCCTCTTGCTGAACTGCCTCCCTTGGTTTTGTCTCAGTTAATTGAGTGTTTATAAATGCTCCCACTTGGCCTAAAGAAGCTCAGAGAACAAAGCTGGAGGAACTTTGAATCTACAGATTCATGAAACAATTGGCATTCTGTTCATTGGCAGAATATGGAGGGGTAATGTGAGCAAATGAGTCCCAAACACACAAAACTTTCCTGCTGGGCCCTCCCCTTCCACCCACCTTTTTTCAGGAAAATGTTAAGAAACTGTTTATAATCTGAAGGTGGTTACTTAAAAGGTTTAATCAAGAAACATCTTCATGTGCATGCATACTGAAGGCAAAGGTTGGCTCTTAAATTATAGATCATGGGATTGGTTTAAACTAATAGGTGATTTTATTTATTTATTTATTTATGTCAATTGCTTACAAGATAATAGGTATAAGTAAAAACATAGTTATGAATACATGGATACATATAAGAAAAATTTAAAAAAAAAAAAAGAAACAAAAGGACAGGGATGGTAGGCACGTTGGTGTGCTTATGCACGCCCCCTACATACCTCTTAGGAAAGGGGTGAGGTCAATAGTAGACAGTCTAATGTTAAAGTTTTTGGGGTTTGGGGAAGAAACCACAGAGTCAGGTAGAGTATTCCAGACATTGACCACTCTGTTGCTGAAGTCGCATTTCCTGAAATCAAGTTTGGTGTTGTTTACCTTGAGTTTGTATCTATTCTTTGGTCTTGTGTTGTTATGGTTGAAGCTGAAGTATTCATTGACAGGTGGGACATTGCAATGTATGGTTTTATATACTATATTTAGATCAGACCGAAGGCGGCGTAGTTCTAGGTTTTCTAGGTCTAGAATTTCTAGTCTGGTGGCATAAGGTATTCTACAACAAGTAGAGGAGTGGAGAACTCTTCTTGTGAAATATTTCTGGACTTTCTCAACTGTGTTAATATCAGATACGTAATGTGGGTTCCAGACTGATGAGCTGCATTCGAGTATTGGTCTAGCAAATGTTTTGTATGCTCTAGTTATTAGTGTCATATTACCAGAGAAAAAGCTATGTAAGATTAGGTTAACAACTCTTAACGCCTTTTTGGCTATGTAGTTACAGTGGGCTCTAGCACTTAGATAATTAGAGATGAGTACTCCAAGATCCTTGACCCGAGTTTGGATTGTCAACAAGGTCTTGACTATTCAGCCTGTATTTTATTTTCTGATTTTTTTTTGCCAATATGTAGGACAGAGCATTTATTTGTTGAGTTTTGAAGTTGCCATTTGTTTGACCATTCTGATACATAGTCAAGGTCTTTTTGAAGGGTAGCAGTATTGTCTGTGGTGTTGAATAGCTTTACATCATCAGCGAAGAGAACGCAGTTGCTCTTGATATGGTCACAGAGGTCATTTATGGAGAGTATGAAAAGAGTTGGTCCTAGAACACTGCCTTGGGGGACACCACTGTTGAGAGGTACAGAATTTGATAGGACGCTCCCAATTTTGACCATTTGTTGTCTGTTTGACACGAATGCTTCTATCCAGTTAAGCAGGTGTCCAGAGATACCATAAGATTGTAGTTTTAGTAGTAGTTTGTCATGTACCACTGAATCAAAGGCTTTACAGAAGTCTATGTAGATTGTGTCTATTGCTTTGTCCTGATCGAGTTGTGTAGTCCATATGTTTTTGCAGTGTAAGAGTTGCAGATTACATGATAGTTTTTTCCTGAAACCAAATTGTTTATTAGAGAGTAGGTTGTTTGTTTCTAAGTGGAGGATGATGGATTGGTTAATAATTGATTCCATGACTTTACGGGTGACGGTGCATAAAGAGATTGGTCTGTAATTTTCAACTAGGCTGGAGTCTCCCTTTTTGAAGATGGGGATGACCGTGGCTTGTGACCCTAGTTTTGGCAAGGAGCTAGTCCTGAAAGATTTTTCAAAGATTATGCTTAGAGGTTATGGCAGTGGATAGCTTTTTTCCAAGGACAGACTGCCCCATGGAGGCCTACAGCACAGAGCTGGTGAGAAGAATGTGACTGGCAAAAATGTCCCAAATTCACTTTTACAGGGATAGCATAATAGATCAGAATCTCCAAATTAGAATACTTAGACTTTAATGCTTTAAGGCAGGGGTCTTCAAACTTGACAACTTTAAGACTTGCGGACTTCAACTCCCAGAATTCCTCCTCCAGTCATGTTAGCTCAGGAATTCTGGGAGCTGAAGTCCACAAGTCTCAAACTTGCCAAGTTTGAAGACCCTTGCTTTAAGGCAAGTCCCTCACATAGAAATAACTGGCAGTGAACATGAACCTTAAGGGTAATTATCACAAACATATCTGAAATCAATCTGTTTTTCCCATGAATTAATGCTCACTTCTCGAGAATGATTTGAAGATAACCTAGGAACTTTGCTGAAACTATGGGTCTTGATCTGATCAGGACAAATCTATATGCACTGGCTGGGTGGCTTGTAGCTTAGAACAATGTATAAAGTAACCATTGGGATTTATTCAGTAAATCATAGCTAAGCAAACCAAACTGATATTTGTGAATCTAATAATTGTAGGGGAAAAGGGTAGAGTTTGACAGCACATTTTTCTTTCAATGTTTAATGTCCTTATGTCTAGATTGTATTTAGGTATATGGATCTAATAACTGACAGTATATTACAGCTACCAGTATTGCCTAAAGTATTTGTAGATCCATAATTAAGGAACCACATTAACAATATAATGGATTTGAGTATCTATTATAATTGCCCATTATATTATATTATGTTTGTTCTGAGAGATCAAATTGCCCAATAGAGATCAGTATGTATTCTCCAACTTGCCCTCCAGGTGTTTTGGGTTATAATTCCAAAAATGTATAGCTAACATAGAAAGAATTACTGAAATTGTAGTGTAACATACTTGAAGAATGGTTTCTTTATTAAGTTTCTATAGTGAAACTTAATAATACGTAGAAGGCTTTCTCTTTCTTACTTCTATGAGTCAGGAAATGCCCACCATTGAATAGTGACGCCTTTCATGAAGCCATTATTCTGCATTTGCAATCTTAATTTTGCTTGGGATAAATTGGCCATGAGAGTCCAGATGAAGAGTAGCAGTATATCTGTTTTCATTGAAGAGCTTATCATCATCTCCAGATAGAATTGGAGAATCCTTTCTGGACACAGGTCAGCAAAGTTTGGGTCTTTTTCTAAGATGACCTGGATGTCTCTCTCAAATTATTGAGATCTTGGGCAAACTATCTCATATTTCACATGGTTTTATCAATTTTACAATGCTCAAGGACTTTTTGGCTATTTTGTAATCACCATTTGAAGTTTCCTGATCTGGAGAGATTAGTGGTGTAAGCAGGACTGATATTCCTGAATTAGACTTGATGGATGTAAAGTAGCTTCCATTTCATTTTAGCAGTAATTTTTTATAGTAATACTACTTTCCTAGTTTCTGCTAGAGATGTGATGTTTGATATATCCTGGCATTTTAGTTTGCCTGTTTTGTACTTCATGACTTTTTGTGGTTCCTACTTTTCACCTCCTTTCTACAGAGATAAACATAGTGAATAAAGAACTGTTCGATTTTCCATGATTATTGTATGCAGTTTTGGATTTTTACTGCATGTAATCTAAAGTATTTTGTTTCCTTCTGTATAATTGTACCCTTTACCTTTCACCTGCACTGTTCAGCATGGTATCATCCATTTTTTATCCCACTAGCATTTTATTCTTTGATTCCTGCAAGTTAGTCTGGAAAATATTAGATAAAACAGGATCCATATCAAACTCCACTAGATAGTTTTTCCCTCTCCACATCCACTAGCTTTAAAGTTTATTTTTGATAAGAATTATCATACCTATCAAACATTGTATTCATTTACAGAATTCATCTGCATTCTGTCTATCAATACTAGACTTAGTAAAGCCTTTAGAAAGGCGCAACTGGGATATATAATAACACCTCAATGTTAGTATTGCCTGCCAAATATGGCACCATTGCTGAATATGCTACAATTCTTTTCAAGTAATTCATTGACATGTTATGAATAATGGATTCCATAGACACAGTTTGTGAAAATTGGTGACATATCCTGCCATTATATGATGAAGAAATACTAAGATTCTGTGATAACAATTTCTATAAACTAAATTCAACTCTGTTCATATCATACACATATATACAAAATCAAATTGCTCCCCAAACTCTTAAGACAATAGCCAATTAGGATATGGTTGCAGGGGTCTACGTCACCCCCTTCAAATTAACTGTGTCTCCTCAATTATCAAAAGGTTGCCTACCTTGATCTAAATATATACAGCCATTTTATCTAGATGATTAAGTGAGGTCTTAATGATTTTTTCTACTGTCTGAAACCGGCAATGTTTCCTCAGTCATGTTTTCCTTTTCTATCCTTTAACCCATTTCCGAACTTGCCTGTTTTCTGATTACAGTATTTGAGAAGGCAGAGGTTTATCTGCAGAGAAAAATCAAGAGATGGGAGGAGTTGGCACTTTCCTCCCACACTCCTTTGCCTTTCACTTCCCACTCAGAAGAGTTGGTTGCTGGTATTGCTATCTAGCTAAAAGTTCTCTTCAGGGAGAGTTGATAGCTGGATGATGGTTAGCCACTCCTCCAATTAGATCATTCTCCCTTGC